GTAACTGTAGTGAGTACGTCACACTGCAAAAAACCCCAGCAGCCACAAGTCTCAGAGCTCGGGTCAACTGAGTTGGGCTCACGTTAGGGGGCTAAAAATTGCAGTGTACATGTTCCGCCTCGGGCTGCATCCCAGGCTTTGAGACCTTCCCTCCTCTCTGGGTTTCAGAGCCCGGATTCCAGCCCGAGCGGGAATGTCCACACGCCTATTTTTAGCCCTGAAGCATAATTCCAAATCAGTTGACCCTGTAGTGTTGAGCCCTGTGAGCCTGAGTCAGCTGCCTCGGATCTTTTTTTGCAGTGTAGATGTACCCTCAGGCAGGAATTTCTGCACTGGTGACACTCAGTTCCCATCGCTGGTGTTATTCTCATGACCCAAAGGGTTAGAAACACTCTTCTTTTTAAATGACAGTCGTGATTCTGGAGCAATGGGGTGAATGCCGGGACAGCGGAACCCTGGGATGCAAGCAGGGGCTTTGGTTGTAACCAGGTGAGACAGGACCAAACACAGCAAAGCAAAAGCTAGGCTAGAGAGCAGGAAATTGCCTGCTGCAGGCGAGATCTGTACAACTTTGCAATTACCCTTCAAGCAAAGTTCAGTTTATACTAGCTGAGGATCTGGCCCATAGTCACAAATTTTCAAAAGCAGCCACTGACACCGAGTGCCCAGTGTGAGGCTGTGTCTTAGCTGCCACAGCTCCAAGGGTCGTCCGAGCTCAACAGTTCCAAACAACAGGCCTAAGAGGTGCCCAGTCGGGCACCCAAAAACGGAGTATGTAGCGGCCACTTTTGCAGCTGTCAGAATCCGAGATGGAAGAGCACTTGCACGCCTAATTATTAAATTCACCGATGCCGACAGACTGTGCCCTTAGAAAATGGCAGGTGGATGCCCAGCTGTCTTTTGGTTTGCCGGCAGCTGCTCTAATTCGTGCCCGCAACTGATGGTGCATTAAAAACTGACAGCACCACCAGCAAGGCTGGTTTTAAAAAATCGGGTCACTTCATCCGTTTCCAGACAGCTCAGGACTAGCCCCTGCTTCCTTGAGCGCTCTGTTCACTCCAATTATTCCAAGCAACAGGACTTCCCCTGGGAGGCAATTCCACAGCTTAATAGATCTCATTGTTAACATCGCTTTATTTTAGGCTAAACACTCTTATCTCATTCCCTCTGGGTAAGTTATGCCCCTGGGGCCTTGTATCCTTTTAGTTTTGTCTCTTTCACTCTAACCTTGCTGGCTTTCCCAGGATCTTTGTTGATATAACATATACCAACAGACCATTTTATGGAGGGTTTTTAGCAGGGAGTAGACAGTCTGGCTGAGCTACAGACTCTCCGCCTGTGAATGCTTTGATGTTTATCACTAGAAATGCTACGCTGTCTGAATTAATTATTCTACTTCCTCACTGCAGGGGATATAGGCCGATGGCTAAAGTCAGGGTATTTCCATGGGAGTGAAATGGTTTTCTTTGGCTGGGGAAAGGACACAACACAGAAAAATCGCCTGCCCGTGCCTGGTGTCTGAAATGGATTGCACACAGCAAATTTGATCTGATCCTTATCCCCCTATTACCACCCCATGCTATCCACATCAGGATGGCCAGTGCTTAGGCTACTAGCCTGTGACTTAAGAAACCCTGGTTCAATTTCTTATTCTGCTACAAACTCCCTCAATGACCTGGAATAGGTCACTTTGACTCTCCATTCCCCTCTGCAAAATGGGTACAATAGCACATCCCTACCTCCTAGGGTGTCTGTGGGAATAAATATATTAATGACTGTGAAGTACCCAGATGCTATGGTGATGGGGGCCGTATATACATATTTAATCCACCTTCGCTATACCTGTCAGCCAGAGGAAGACATTCAGCATTCGGCGCCTTCTGTATATATGGTGACATATTTCTGCTCTTGTGCTAAGATGGCACCAGTGGACAGATCAGAGGGAAGGTTTTCTTAACGCAATCGTAAAGAACAGCAAACAGTATGTAAAGGTCAAAGGAAAACTGGATCCCTGGTATAACTGTTGACTTCAAGAGGTTTCTATAACCTGCTGTTAATTTGAGAGATTGTGCAGAAAATGCATAATGTACTGGGTATATTCCAGAATGCAAGATCCTTTCCATATAGACGAATATATATTGAAATATAGATACATAGTATTGTTTTATAATATATTTGTTATTATTCATTGTTTCTAAACACATTGAGGAGCATATAATAAGGCTAAGGTCCATGGGAATTAGGTGCTTAAACACCTTAAAAACCTAGCCCTAAGTGTTACCAAGTGTTATGTTGTTAGGGATATAAAATGCATTTAAAAGTTAGAATTAATCCTTCTCTTGCCAAATATAATACCCAACTCAACAACACCAATTATACAGAAGCAGGAGAGGGTAGGTGATTTTTCTACAAATGACTAAAATGGACATCACGCCTGGCGTTAATCTCACGGGGTGATATTTAGTTTAATAATGATTTGAGGAAAGAGAGCAAGTATTATTGTTGCTAATCGTTTCCATAGCGCTGGAGTTTTATACGATGAATATCCCTGCCCCCAAAGCGCTTATTAATCCGATTGTTGATGTATCGATTTTGTTAAATGAGTGCTGCCATGTTTACATCGGGATACCTTCATCGAGTGCGCCAAAGTCAATAGGACAGGCATGGCCAGTCGTTTCTTACTCTGAGATGATTTCATGGAAACAGATGATCAGAAGAAAATAACGAGGGAAGTGTTGCCAGAATTGAATCCTATTATTATTTCTTAAATATCCGATCATAGCTTTGCTGATACAGTATAATGAGCCTGATCCTTAGCGGGTGTAAATCAACACACTCAATGGAGCTAGATCAATTTACACCGTCAGACGATTTGGTCCCTTGAGACTTTACTGCATCAATAAAGCCATTGCAGGATAGTTAAGAAATAACAACAGGACTGGATTCTAGCAACAATTTCCCGCATTGTTTTCTTCTGAATGGTCTCCAGTGATTAAGTGATTAAGAATAAAGGACAGAACTCAACAGGCACATGGTGATCTGGGCGGGGGTTAAAGTTGGGCTATTAATAATAATTAATTCATTGTGAATTTAGTGCTGGGAAAAGGCTCTAAATGTACAGCCTTGGAGACTGAATTTGTCTAGTTATGCAGGTTCAGTAAGGATGGCAGCAGAGACCAGCAATAGGGCTCAGTGCTGATCTTTAGGGCTACGGAAGTCCAGGCTTCTTTCCATCCTAGGTCTCTCTCTACTGAGCAAGGGGGAGAACCAGCAGCAGTTGTGATGGGGCGGGGGGGAGTAGGTTGTGAAATGGAAACTGTCTCACTGGGAAGTGTGATGAGACTCTCCCTCTCCAGCCCGTCCAAAAAAAATAATAAATTCATTCCACATAAAATCAGCATCAACATTCATTTCCCAGGGCCCCGCTCGCAGATCCCTTTAAGAGGAGACTGCTCTAAGAAAAGGCGCCATTCCCCCTATTACACACAGGGCTGCAGCGAGCAGCAAAGAAACCGATTAAGAAATAAACAGGCCGTGGCAGCTGGCACAGTTACACAGGAAACAAACAGTACCACAATAATAGGTCAGTCAATAAGAACAGTCAGAACAAGCGGATTTATATGCTGGCTGGGGCGGAGATCTGTTTCGTATAAAGTGCCACACGCATTTGTGGGGCTGGGTGAATAATAAATAATGACGGTGATGCTATATGATGCTTTAATTAATTTAATTAGGGGCCAGATCCCCAGCTAGTGTAAATGGCCGTGGCGCCAGCTCTTCGATAGAGATATGCTGATTTACATCAGCTGGGCGCCTGGCCCTTCATCTGCAAAACCCTTCATCCTCTCAGCCTGAAGGGTGCCCAAAGGGACTGCGGTGTGTGGGGAGCAGGAAGGGCTTCCCTGAAGCAATCAGCTCTGCACTGGGGCCCCCCGATAGAAATCGCTCAGGTGCCTTGTTCTCACTGGATCGCGCTACGGGGGCGGCCGGCTGTTCTAAGCTTAGAAGCATCTGAAGAAGTAGGTTTTTTACCCACGAAAGCTTATGCCCAAATAAATCTGTTAGTCTTTAAGGTGCCACCGGACTCCTTGTTGTTTTTGTGGATACAGACTAACACGGCTACCCCCTGATACTTAAGCTTAGGTGGTGTCTGGAGAAGAAAGGGTGATGGCTGTTCCTGGGGGTGCTCTGATATTGATAGTGAGACCCCCACAGCAGAGCATAGCAGTAATGTAACACCTCTGCACCTCGCCCGAGTCCTCTGGAATGTGTCTCTCTGCATGAGAATGGCCATTTCTAGAGCCACATCTCTCTGGCAATCCCCACTCCGAGCCTGCCCCTCTGCCCGGGTAACCGTCCCGGGGCCCCTAGCCTCGCCAAAATGGCTCTACATTCAGTCTCACCTCCCTCTGTGCCAGACGGATCCCCCCAGTTCCACCTCAGGATCCCATGGCCGCCCTTCCCTATCCCAGCTCTGTCTCCAGGAGTGGGGGGGGGACAGGAGCTTATCTGGACTGGCTGCCCCACACAGGTCAGGGTTAGGTACCACGCTAAGCTGGGCTGGACAGCATTTCTGCAGGCGGGAGAGAACAGGACATCCCCGGCCAGGTCTCTTCCCTCCCACTAGCCTTTGCTAGGGTGTTTGCTGCGAAGGGATGAGGGGCTGGCTCTGCGGGGTGCCATGTGTCCTGGGAGGCGGTGGAGGGGATGAGGAAGTGGATGAAGAAGAGGAGATGGGGCCTCACATCTTGTCCACCTGACGGCAGCCTAGAGACCTTCCTTCCGCTGTGCCCATGATGTGGGAGAAGGGAAGACTTCAGTCCCCAGACCTACACCAGCTGAGGGCCTGGCCCAGAGAGTGTGCAATGCAGAAGGCTGAGAGGAAGGGCCGGATCCTACAACAGTGCTTTGGCTGGAGAACTCAGCCGAGAGGCTAAACCCATAGGGACCCTGGCCAAGAGAGAAGGGAACAAAGAGGGGATGGAGAGAGGGTTGGGTACCTTGTCTGGGCGCCATCAGGAAAAGAGCCACCAGGGATACCCACAGCACGTCCATCGCTGTCACTGGCACAGGCTGCAGCGTGATTGCATTGTAGGCTGGGAAGGGAGGGCCAAAACCAGGCTCTTTCGCTCTCTATCTGGTGTGTGGCTCCCACACAAGAGTCTCTCGTTCTTGTTTTCTGGCTTGTGGTTGCAGTCTCCAGGAAGCCAACTCAGCATCTCAGGGGTGGGGAGGGAGCCCCCAGCCCGGTGCTGAAAGGCAGCAGCGGCCGCCACCTCTGCAAAGTACAGCAAGCTTGAAAGCAATTGGGCCGGGCGAAAGCAAAACTAGCTAGTGGAAATGGGTTGCAGGCCGCATGTCAGGAGCCGACCCCGGGATTCGCAGGGACTCCATGCCCAGACCACATGTCAGGATCCATCCGGATCCCCAGGATCCCCCACACAGGCCGTGCATCGGGATTCGCACCAGGATCCCCCAAAACCCATGCCCAGAATTTGAACTAGGATCCCCAAGGACCCTGCGCCCAGATTACGTGTCTGCATTGGACCCGGGATGCCAAGGGACCCCCTTACAGGTTGCATGTCAGGATTCACCCCAGGATGCCTAGGGACCCTGCACCCAGGCCGTACCTGCGGATTCGTCTCAGGATGCCCAGGGACCCTGCGCCCAGGCCGCGTGTCCAGATTTGCCCCAGGATGCCCAGGGTCTCCATTCCCAGACCGTGCATTAGGATTCACTCCAGGATCCCCAGGGACCCCACTTGCAGGCTGCATGTCAGGATTCACCTCGGTATCCCCAGGAACATCCTCAGGATGTGCCCCACGATTCCCAGGGACCCCATGCGCAGGCCCTGTGTCAGGATTCGCACCTGGATCCCCAGGGACACCATGATAAGACCACATGTCCGAATTCGCACTGGGATCCCTAGGGACCCCATGACCGGGGCAATGACTTTCTGGTCACATGACCTATCTTGTCTCAAAGCAGTTCCATCTGCCATGACCCATTCAGCCTCTAGGGCTGGGGTCGGCAACCTTTCAGAAGTGGTGTGCCGAGTCTTCATTTATTCACCCTAATTTAAGGTTTCCCGTGCCAGTAATACATTTTAACATTTTTAGAAGGTCTCTTTTTATAAGTCTCTATAAGATATAACTAAACTATTGTTGTATATAAAGTACATAAGGTTTTAAAAATGTTTAAGAAGCTTCATTTAAAATTAAATTAAAATGCAGAGCCCCCCGGACTGTTGGTCAGGACCCAGGCAGTGTGAGTGCCACTGAAAATCAGCTTGCGTGCCGCCTTTGGCACACATGCCATAGGATGCCTACCCCTGCTCTAGGGGGAATCCTTCCCCGGCGCTTGTGTTTGCTGCTCCTGCTATTTCACCACATCAGCGGCTGGGTGGGCATATCGCTCGTGCCGGTGAGGTTTTGGGCGTCCCTCAAGAAGCAGAGCCAGTGCCCTCCTAGGATTGCTGGTCCTGCGGGACTGACCCGAAGGGGCGCTTCTGACGGCTCTTTGGTGTGGACGGCCCAACAGTGAGCCTAGCAGGAGCCCTGTTTGAAACCTGACATTCTCCCACTGGCATTCCCAGCATAGCACTCCTCCTGTTCTAGCTTCCGGCATTCAGCACCATTATAGCCACTTCTCAGTCTTCCATCCACCAAGCTGGGCAGACATTGGCTCTAGGGCTTCTTCTGCCCTTCTGAGCCAGCGATCCCAGTGGAGCATCGCGAGATGCACTGTGCTATTTTGATGCTAAGCACGGCTCCTTCCACTCCCCCGGAGCTTTCTGCTATCGAGTTTGTTGCTATTCGCTCTGACGTTCCTGCTCACCCATCTGACTGTGGCTAGCCAGGGCTTGATGTGGGGCACGGGAAGTATCTGTCAAAGGGAACTGCTGAAATGTCACATGCAGGACACCTGGGTCATCGGCGCCTCCCTCCCCCCGCCGTGCCTCAGATGGCATCAAAACACATGCTCTGTTGAGCTTTATCGGGCTGCCCTCTCGAGGAGGCTCACCGACATGGCACAGAGATGCCAGGGGACCAGGGCTGCCTGTCGCAGCTGGGAGAGGCGTGGTACAGGGGTGGGGGTTCCCCCTGTGGGCTATTTACCACTGCCCATGAAAGAAGGAACTCCACCGCAGAAGAGCGATTCACCGGCCATCATGCCCCCTTGTGGCTGGGTGCAGGATAGCAGGCTCTCTTCCTCTGCCACCCTTTATCCACAGCTCTGCGGTGGCCTGCTTCTCAGGACTCAGACCTGCAGCCAGAGGCCCAGAGCACATATAGTCCTCACCCCTTCTGGGGTAACAGTGGGTCCAAGAAAACCATCACCCGACTGCCTCACGCCAGGTCTTTCACTCTAGGCTTACCTGCCCCTTGTGTCAGGGGGTTTCACACCAGCTTCACCATAGCCAGTGGGAGAACACCAGGCCCCCCTTCTACTGCAGGTGCCAGCCCAGGGCCCTGGAGCAAGCAGCTCACGTCTGCTCCCTCAGACCTGCTGCTTCCTCCCTGGACTACTTCCTAGTGGAGCCTGTCTCGAGGCCTTTCCCAGCCCTGCTCCTCTGCCCATGCTTCCCAGGCTCTGCAATGTTCTCACCTGCTCTTGTAGCGAGCGACACCTCCCGGGCTTTCTCCCTGGCAGCCCGGCTCCTGTCTGCCTCTCCCCAGGCTTGCTGTGTGTCCATGTCTCTCTCCCCCGCTGCCTTGGGCCTCTTTGCCTGCGATCAGCCATCCAGCTCCTCCCCAGTGGGTCTGCTAACAGAATTACCCCACCTTCCCTCGAGGTGCAGCCAGGTTGGCTAACTGAATGCCCATGCTCTCATTAACCCTCTCTCTGCCATGGGAGAGGGCGTACACCCCATCACACCCACAAACCGCCCCAAGCCAAAGCCTGGGGAAGTAACAGGAACCTGTCCGTTGAGCTCAGTGGACTTTGGATCCGGCCCTGAATACCTAAAGGGTGTGGGTTGCCATTGTGACAGTTACCCTCCTGGTGGGCACACCAGGAATTGAACCAGGGAACCTCTAGAGCGTTTGCAATAGGTGCTATAAAGCAAAGGCTCCCAACTGGGGCTCTAACAGACTCACAGCGGCTACAGCTCAGGCACGGGGGGGAATATGTAACCCACACTCACCCACAGGTTACATCATGTTTGGCTGAAAGTGACACTGTGTGAGTGGGGAGGGGGATGGCTCCCACAGATGGGTGACATATTCCATCTAGTAAAGCTGCATTAAGCCCCTGGTCCTGCTCCCATTGAGGTCAGCTGCTAAACTCCTACTGACTCCAGTGGTGCAGGATTGGGCCCTGAGAAAACGTACAGGCTGAGCGCTCGAAAGGGAACGTGATACACATCTATCGAACAATGACTGGTCTCGAGAAGGGAGATCAGGCACTTCTGCTCTCCTTGCCTCCTAACATAAGAACGAAGGGACACTAGATGAAAGGGGGCAAATTCAAAGCCAGTGAAAGGAAATACTTTTCCACACAATGTGCAATGAGCCTGTGTAACTCACTGCCACCGGAAGTTGTTGAGGTTCAGAATTGAACAAGCTTCCAAAAGTGATTGGAGATCAAGAACTTCCAGCGTTATCATAATTAACGATAACAGAAACGTTGGCAGGGTATGTTTCAAGGTTTAAGCCAATCTCTATTAAAGACCAGGATGAGCCCTCCTTGGCGGCAAATTATCCCACCTCTACCCCCTGCAGGGTTCTTTTACCTTCCCCTGAAGGGACAGGACAGTGGATTAGAAGGACCGTGGCTCTAATCCAGTCTGGCAATTCCTCTGTTCCTAGCTGTGGCAAGCTACAGGAGAGTTTGCTGTCTGCCTTCATGTCTCTAACTAGCGTCAGTTCCTGCTGCTCCGTGGGCACCAAGCACTGGTTTTTGGGCTGAGATCTCTGACAGAAGGGTTTGCCCGCATGTTGTTTGTGGCCGCCTCTCTTCAGGGACTGGGGTATACAAGCTGTACTAATAGCCTGCACTTGCCTCATTCGAATGAGCAGCTGAGCTGCAAGGCCCTGAAACCTAGGACTGCTCAGCAGAGGGACAACAAAATCTTTTTCACAGGGCATTCAATACTGGGCCAAATACCTGCCCTCCTTGAAGCAAATTAGAGGAGACGTCACAAGACAGATACTAAATAATTCCATGCTCCGTAAGAGGCAGCATCAAAAGGAGAAATCACAACATATAGCAACTGGTAATAGAAACTCTGGGGGTGTATTTTTTATAGCAGCTGCTGCTGAAATACCAGCGCGAGAGATGACAGCTCCGAGGAAGAGCTGTCTGCCAGATGTCAATCCACATGACCATATTGCCCTACAAACCAACGGGGATTAATTTGCAGAGTGAACTTTCCCGAGGCACGCTGTCAAAAGGGAATGGATAACTTTGCTGACGTTTTGCTGGCGAGAGGGGGCTCCGGCTGCACTATTTACCCATGGGTGGAGGGGGAAATCAGGCAGGATGGGAGAGGTTAGAGTCGGAAGGACTTTAAAAAAAACACAAGGGCCTGATCCTCAACTGGTGTCAATCAATGTCATGGCACTGTCTTCAGTGGAGCCATGCTGATGTGAAGCCATGGAAGGTCTAGTCCTGGGCTTGCTGCTTCAGGGCATAAGCCAACCTCTAATGGGGCTGGGAAGATGGTGGTCCTACAACTATCAGCAGTGAGGGTCTTGGACCTTCTGAAACAGCTGGCACTAGCTGGAGGCAGCACAGATGGCTCCCCGCCCTGATCCAGCGTGGTGATTCTGGTCCTCCTAGAGAGTCTTCTGTCCATTGGCAGGGGAGTTTGGAACGGTGGAGTGCACTGGATTTCCACGAGAGGAAGGAGGTAGGAAAGGCCCTTTCTGAAGAGCCAAAGCTAGGGGCACTGGAGAAACATACAATCTGCAAACCCCATAGGGGCGGAAGGGAGGAAAAGGGTTTTATGGGAGCTGGAAGGCCATGCTACGCACCGCAAGGCTTTGGGCAATGACACCTACCTTGTGTTCTTACCAGGATGGGGCCGTGCAGCATTCGGGGCAGAAGCCCCATTGCAAAAGGCTCATCTGCAGCTCCATCGCCACCTAGCTGTAATGGAGCTGCGGATGGAGCTGAAGGTCCCGTCTGGGCTGAAAATCTATGGATCAGCTTGTCACCTATTCTCTGGCCCCTCCCCCAGGGCTCTCCAGAACTCCTCTGAGACAACTGGGAGTGACTCAGGATGGTTTTTAGTTAAATCCCTCTCATCAGGAGCCCATTGT